CCATAATTGCATATCTACCATCATGCAAGAGAGTCCGAATAAGTATCCGAGTGTTTATACCCTAATGCAAGAGAAATGGAAAACAAACACCATATACATATCTGCCATCATGCAAGAGGGTCCGAATAAGTGTCCGAGTGTTTAAGCCCTAATGCATGGAAATGGTAAATAAACACCATAATTACATATCTGCCATCATGCAAGAGGGTCCGAATAAGTGTACGAATGTTTAAACCCTAATGCATGAGAAATGGAAAATAAACACCACAATTACATATCTGCCATCATCCAAGAGGGTCCGAATAAGTGTCCGAGTGTTTAAACCCTAATGCATGAGAAATGGCAAATAAACACCATATCGTCATGCAAGAGGGTCCGAATAAGTGGCCGAGTGTTTACAACCTAATGCATGAGAAATGGCAAGTAAACAACATGTTTACATATCTGCCACCATGCAAGAGGGTCCAAATAAGTGTCCGAAGGTTTAAACCCTAATGCATGAGAAATGGGAAGTAAACACCATAATTATATATCTGCCATTATGCAAGAGGGTCCGAATAAGTTTCCGAAGGTTTAAACCCTAATGCATGAGAAATGGCAAGTAAACAACATGTTTACGTATCTGCCACCATGCAAGAGGGTCCAAATAAGTGTCCGAAGGTTTAAACCCTAATGCACGAGAAATGGCAAGTAAACACCATAATTATATATCTGCCATTATGCAAGAGGGTCCGAATAAGTGTACGAGTATTTAAACCCTAATGCATGAGAAATGGCAAGTAAGCACCATAATTACATATCTGCCATCATGCAAGAGGATCCGAATAAGTGTCCGACTGTTTAAACCCTAATGCATGAGAAATGGCAAGTAAACAACATGTTTACATATCTGCAATCATGCAAGAGGGTCCAAATAAGTTTCCGAAGGTTTAAACCCTAATGCATGAGAAATGCCAAGTAAACAACATGTTTACATATCTGCCATCATGCAAGAGGGTCTAGATAGGTGTCCCAAGGTTTAACCCTAATGCATGAGAAATGGCAAGTAAACACAATAATTACATATCTGCCATCATGCAAGAGGGTCTGAATAAGTGTACAAGTATTTAAACCCTAATGCATGAGAAATGGCAAATAAACACCATAATTACACATCTGCCATCATCCAAGAGGGTCCGAATAAGTGTCCGAGTGTTTAAACCCGAATGGTTGAGAAACGGCAAATAAACACCATAATTACGTATCTGCCATCATGCAAGAGGGTCCGAATAATTGTCCGCGTGTTTAAACCCTAATGCATGAGAAATGGCGATTAAACACCATAATTACATATCTGCCATCAGGCAAGAGGGTCCGAATAAGTGTCCGAGTGTTTAAACCGTAATGCATGGGAAATGGCAAATAAACAACAAAATTACATATCTGCCATCATGCAAGAGGGTCCGAATAACTGTCCGACTGTTTAAACCCTAATGCATGAGAAATGGCAAATAAACACCATAATTACATATCTGTCATCATGCAAGAGGGTCCGAATAGGTGTCCTAGTGTTTAAACCCTAATCCGTGAGAAATGGCAAGCAAACAACATATTTACATATCTGCCATCATGCAAGAGGGTCCGAATCGGTGTCCGAGTGTTTAAGCCCTAATGCATGTGAAATGGCAACTAAACACCATAATTACATATCTGCCATCATGCAAGAGGGCCGGAATAAGTGTTCGAGTGTCTAAACCCTAATGCAAGAGAAACGGCAAATAAACACCAAAATTACATATCTGTCGTCATGCAAGAGGGTCCGAATAAGTGGCCGAGTGTTTAAAACCTAATGCATGAGAAATGGCAAGTAAACAACATGTTTACATATCTGCAATCATGCAAGAGGGTGCAAATAAATTTCCGACGGTTTAAACCCTAATGCATGAGAAATGGAAAGTAAACAAAATGTTTACATATCTGCCATCATGCAAGAGGGTCCAAATAAGTGTCCGAAGGTTTAAACCCTCACTACAACAAAAAGAGTCTTTAGAGACGAAAACTAATGACGAAAATCAATTTTGTCACGAAAGACGTACCTTTTAATGAAGAAAACAATTTTTCGTCTCCAAATGTATCATATTTAGAGAGAAAAATAAAATTTCGTCACCAATCTTGATACATAATAAAAAAATTAGGTGACAAAATTATTTTTCGTCATTATTTTTATTTTTTTGTCACCAAAGATTTTCCTACATTTTTTTTTGGATTTTGAGACTTTTGGTGAGGAAAAAATTGGTCACCAATTATAAAATTATTAGTGACGAATATATTTTCATCACTAATAATTTTTAATATTTTGATATCATTTAGTGAGAAAATTATTTTCATCGTTAATAATTTTGTTTTTGGTGAGAAAATAATTTTGTCACCAATTTCGGAGGAAAAATTAAGTGGTAATGAAAAATAAAATAGGTTACTAATTTTTCCCCACCTTTTATCTAATTGTTTTCCTCCCCCCTCTCTCTCTCTCTCTCAAAACACACACACACACAATAACTTCTTCCTTCTCTCTGCCCTTGCTACTTCCCGTTGTCATTGTCCCTTCTCATTGTTCAGTATTGCTTCCGACATCACCTCTAAGCAAGCACATTGTTCTTTCTCTACTCTTGTAAAGACCGAAAAAATAAAATTCAAAATTTAAATGATGGGTATTTATTTTTCGAAAATGACGGATGGAACAGCGTTCATTTTAGTTTATAGTAGGATTTTGGTATTGAAGCTTTGGGTTTTAAGACCCATGACATTATAATTTGGATTTATGTATGTAAATCTTACTCAACTGTTTGGTCTTTTTTAATTATATAATCCTTTTTAATTATATAAATGATGGAGACCATCTTGAGCTTATCTAAAATATTGTGTAATCTAGTCTCAATCGAAAATTTATTTTAGATTATTAAACTTCATTTATTTTGGATCCAATTAATTAAACTATGTTTCATTTGAATTACTTGTTATTGCTATTATGAGAGGGTTGCGAATATTTATAGTGTTTCCCAATCAAACGAAATGTATATTTGTGATAAGAAAAATTATATCATTTTATATTATAAAATATTAAGATGATGTTAAAATAAAATTTTAATTAATATATATATATATATAAAATAATTATTTTCAGTGATGGTTGTTTCTAGACCCTCTGGGTGGAACTCTCTTTATCTACACACCAGTAATTTCTAAGGTTAGGGTTTTTCACGATCCAACTAAGGTTTCAATTCAGAGAGAGAGAGACGAAGAAGCAGAAGAAGAAGACAATAGAAGATTAGCACAGCAATGGGGAGGTACAGAAGCCGAAGCCAAAGCTACGGCCCAAGGCGTAGCAAGCGATACCAGGTCTCGCAAAGACCGACGCTCCCCTGCCCCTTCTGGTCTCCTCGTTCGCAACATCTCCCTCAACGCCAGGTCTCTAATCTCTCTCTCTATTTTTTTTTTATCATCCTTCAATCCCTTGATCTATATATATATATACATATTGATATAATTACTACTTTAGTGTGTTGATTTGTGGTTTACGAGTTTGCATTTAAATTTTGGGATGGTTTGATGAGTAAAATCGTTTAGCAATATTGGGCATTTTGATGAATGAGAAGAAATGTTGGCTGGATGTGAACAACCAAATAGGAATTGAATAGATTCACCAACAGTTACAGGGGCTACCTCAAGTATTTGATTCTTTGTTGCTTAGCATTTCATTGTTACGGTTTCTCATGAATTTCTAGTGGGTTTAGCAAAAACTTTTTTGTCCCAATTTATATGAGTTCAATCTAATGTCAATATGATCCATGGCACTGGAGTTCATTTTTTCAATGTTCACAATCGTTATGAACTTAACGGGATTTGTGGTTGTGGGTGTATAGGGAATTGGTAGGTTGACATAGGAACCTTATGTAGGAATTGGCAATGGGGCAGGGTCAAAAAGCCTTATGCCTATTGATCCATGTGTCACCTCTTGAGGCTCACACGTGGTTAGAGAACTTGGAGAAGGTGATGTAGTGGTGACATGGTCGAGCCACATGGCAAGTGGAGCCATAGACCCATATGTCCAAATTGTTATTTACTTTTTTTTTGGGTAGGTGAGTTTTTCTTCTAAATATGTAACAAGTATCATTTTAAACCTCGATCTTGTCATTATATGATTGTTTTAAATGTTATTATTCTCTTACACCCTCTTAAAAAAAAAAGAAGAAAGAGGAAATCTAATGATTCTACTTGATTCTTTACTGGCCAGAAGATCTTAGAATCTCATTTGAACAATTTGGTTTGATAGAGGATGTTTATCTACCTAAGGATTACTACACTGGGTATGATTATTTTAGCTTTTATATTTCCGTGTGTGTTTTTGTTATGTTGTTTGTTATCAAATATCTAGAAAGTTCTACTTATTCCAATATATATATATATAATAATTGAAACAAGAGACAAGAGAAAAGAGTGAGACCCCTACTGCCAATTCCATTACATGCTTATGATATATTTTGTTGTCTCTTCAAGAAAATATTTTGCTTTACACATATGGATCCTGACACATGTTTTGTTTTTGTTTTTGTTTTGTCTCTTGAAATCTGACAGTAGGTAATTGGTGTGGATGATGCGGTCTTAAGAGTGGCTTGTATTTTCTGTAACTGGGATGCATTATCTCTAATGTTCTGGTGAGTGTGCAGGGCCTTGGAGGTGTATGCTGGTCTCCTTTTAAGGAAAGTGAGTTAAGTGAAGTGAGTACATCAATAGGTGCTAGTCTCATTTTTATTTATTTATTATTATTATTTTTTTGCTAACTTTTGTTAATGCAGGTTTTTCAAAACTGGTACACAGTGTAGGGATGTGTGGGTTGAGGTTATTTTTTTGCTAACTTTTGTCAATGCAGGTTTTTCAAAGCTGGTACACAGTGTAGAGATGTGTGGGTTGAGGGATGGTGAGCTCTTATATTAGGGTTGTGAATTGTGTTTGATACAAACTTTTGAGGGTTGAGTGGTTGTGAGATCTCTATATTTCCAGTTGTGTTTTTGTGCAGGTACTAGCTGGTCCTCAATTAAGGGATGTTATTGTTGAGAGTTGAGAGTTGAGTGGTGTGAGCATATATTTTTGTTAGGTTTTTTGTGGTGATAACTGCTCTCTTTCTGTGTTGGAGTGTTCATATGTGGGTTGAGTGATGGTAGTAATAAATCAGTGAGATTTTGATGCAGTTACTGTTGATGTTTGTTTCTATTGAGTGTATTGATTGCTTGTCTTTCCAGGATCAATTAAGTGAGGCTTTGGAGCAAGCTGTCCATCTGTTATAGAACAATTTTGAGTAGTTATGCTACTCAGTTATACATTGGTTGAGCTACCTACTGCTACAACCTGTGTATATGCTGCTGCTGTGTTTAGGCTGGGCAGGTCTGGTTTGCTGCTCTGTTAAGTGAAGTGGGTACATGTTGTAGTTGTGTATATGCTGTGTAATCTGTGTATATGTTGTTCTGATGCCTCTGCTGTGTTAGTGTCCTGGGCTAGAGGTCATTGTGGTCTCTGCTTGGAGTTTTTTTTTTTTATTTAGAGGTGTTTAGTTGATGTTGTTATTTTGGTTTAGATCTTGTAGTCTTGATTTTATTGGTAGTTTATGTCTCTTGTTCAGCCTCATCATTTCGTTATGTGGTGCTTGACCAGGTTGGGCTTTCATAGGGCTTACCAATGCCACCAAAACGATTGGCGCAGTCATCTCTTCAACCTTCGCATGAGGCAATTTTTGTTTGGAATGAGGATTTACATGACAATGTGGAGACCCAACACTCACAGCCACTTGATGTCGATATAGAGGCACAGAGGGAGGCAGCCCCCCAATCTAGTGTCGGTAAGATGCTGAATTTTACTATTAAAATGAAATTCTCTATATTAATATAATGTGTACTTGTCACATTTACATATAGTGAGATTTGTTATTATACTTATATAATAATTACTGAGTAATATATCATGTATCCATAATCATGTCATATCATCATTCTAATTTTTTTTCCCTACTCAGCACAGCGAGTTAATATATATATATATATGTAATTTAGGTAAAAATAAAGCGGGTGGTGGATTCTCAACATTCATTGTGTTCATGCCAACAGTTACAAAATTATAATGAATGATTTATGTTTTTCTACTTCAAAATCTTCATTGACAGTAGGTGGTGGATTCTCATCATTCGTTGTCTGCTTTTTCTTCTTTATTTTTTTTCATTTTTTGTTTTCATGTAGTGCTGAAAGCTTTTTCATCTCAGTAGATTTTACTAAGATATTAAAGTTACTTATATTAGGGAGCTTTTTGGTTGAGGGTTGAGTGAACGTACCTCTAAATTCTCTAGCGTGTTTTCCTTTTTTCTTGTTGTGGGTTGTTGAGTTTTACCTTATGTATTGCTTTGATTTTTGTCGAGGGTTGAGTGACAATATACGTGGCTCCCCATTGAAACAAGCACATGACTCCTAGTTTGAAAATTACTTTCAATTATGTATTTTTCCAACACTTAAGTTTGAAAATAGGTCATTGAGGGACAAAATAATGAAATATGAATAAGGGTTGGGAAACATCATGAACACCTCGAGAGTAACCAATGTAAATTATGAAAATTTATAGAACAAGCATGAGACTCCCAATTTAAAAACTACTTTCAAATTTGTAAATTTCCAACACTTAGGCATGAAAATAAGTCATCGGGGGGCAAAATTGTTAAATAAGCACAAAAAGGTCTAGAAATTATCATGAACGCGTTGGGAGGGATCAACATAAGTTGTGAAAACTTATAGAACAATCATAGGACTCTCGGTTAGAAAATATTTAGGCTTGAAAATAGGCCATTAGGGAGTAAAAGCTTGAAATAGTCGTTAAAAGGCCCGGAAAACATCATGAACACCTTAGGAGGACCTAATGTAAGTTGTAAAAATTTACGGAACAAACACAATAAATTTTGGTTTGAAATTTACTTCGAAGTTTTCATATTTTCTCTTTTAGGTTGCATATTCACATATTTAGTGAATGGTTTCTTTAACCTTTTGTTGTTGTTGTTGTTGTTTTTTTTTTTTTTTTTTTTTTTTTAAATGGCAGATTGGAGATGAACGAATTTGGTAACCTGCATAGCAAGAACTTTTTGTTGAAATTACTAGACACGTATCCGTAACCTGCATAGCAAGAATTTTTTGTTGAAATTACTAGACACGTATCCATCATAGTGCCATTGTACTTTTTGTTGATATTACCAAACATGTATTTTGACTATGTTGTCATGGGTTGTGATTATATTGTGATGGATCTTATCTTTTTGTTGATACTATCAAACATATATTTTGACTATGTTGTCGCTTTATGCAAATGAACAGGTTTTTGTAATGATCTGTAATGGATATTATATTGAACAGAATATTAAAATGCATAAGTTATTTTGATTGTGTTGTCGCAGTTTTGATTGTACTATAATTGATGTTATATATTAATTTCTTGATACTATGAGACATGTATTTTGCTTGTGTTATTTAATGAAAATGAACAGTTTAATTTTATATTGATTAATATTAGATATTTTATTGAATAAATAATTAAAATGCACAGGATTGCTTATTGAAAAAAATATATATAAATTGCAAATATATATGCCACAATTTTTAAAATTTATTTATTATTGGCGACAAAAAAAAAAATTGTCGCTAAAATTTTCTAATCTCAACAAATAATTTCGTCACACATGTTCAGTATTTCTTCACTAAATTAAAATATTTATTGACAAAAATTTTGTCACTAAAGGGTCTTTTTTTACATCTTTTGGTGACAAATATTTTTGTCACTAAAAATTTTATCACTATTTTTAAGGACGAAATATTTCGTCACCCAAAACAAATAGAATAAAATTTTATTTAATTTTAGTGACGAAATAGACATTATAGGTGACAAAATATTTAACATTTAGTGACGAAATGTTTCGTCACCAAGTACCAATAATTGGTGACAAAATAAAATTTCGTCACCAGGTACTTTTTGTGACGACCAATAGGTGACGAACGTGGTGACGAAATAATTTCGTCACAGATCAGTTTGGTGACGAAAATTGTACTATTGGAGACGAAGTAATTTTGTCATTAAAGAACCATTTTGTTGTAGTGCCTAATGCATGAGAAATGGCAAGTAAACACCATAATTACATATCTTCCATCATGCAAGAGGTTCCGAATAAGTGTACGAGTATTTAAACCCTAATGCATGAGAAATGGCAAATAAACACCATAATTACATATCTGCCATCATCCAAGAGGGTCCGAATAAGTGTCCGAGTGTTTAAACCCAAATGCATGAGAAATGGCAAATAAATACCATAATTACATATCTGTCGTCATGCAAGAGGGTCCGAATAAGTGGCCGAGTGTTTACAACCTAATGCATGAGAAATGGCAAGTAAACAACATGTTTACATATCTGCAATAATGCAAGAGGGTCCAAATAAGTTTCCGAAGGTTTAAACCCTAATGCATGAGAAATGGCAAGTAAACAACATGTTTACATATCTGCCACCATGCAAGAGGGTCCAAATAAGTGTCCGAAGATTTAAACCCTAATGCATGAGAAATGGCAAGTAAACACCATAATTACATATCTGCCATCATGCAAGAGGGTCCGAATAAGTGTACGAGTATTTAAACCCTAATGCATGAGAAATGGCAAATAAACACCATAATTACATATCTGCCATCATCCAAGAGGGTCCGAATAAGTGTCCGAGTGTTTAAACCCTAATGCAAGAGAAATGGCAAACAAACACCATAATTACATATCTGCCATCATGCACGAGGGTCCGAATAAGTGTCCGAGTGTTTAAACCCGAATGGATGAGAAATAGCAAATAAACACCATAATTACGTATCTGCCATCACGCAAGAGGGTCCGAATAAGTGTCCGAGTGTTTAAACCCTAATGCATGAGAAATGGCAAGTAAACACCATAATTACATATCTGCCATCATGCAAGAGTGTCCGAATAGGTGTCCGATTGTTTAAACCCTAATGCATCTGAAATGGCAACTAAACATCATAATTACATATATGCCATCATGCAAGAGGGTCTGAATAAGTGTTTGAGTGTTTAAACCCTAATGCATGAGAAATGGCAAGTAAACAACACGATTACATATCTGCCATCATGCAAGGGGGTCCGAATAAGTGTCCGAGTGTTTAAACCATAATGCATGAGAAATGGCAAGTAAACACCATAATTACATATCTGCCATTATGCAAGAGGGTTCGAATAAGTGTCCGAGTCTTTAAACCCTAATGCATGAGAAATGGCAAATAAACACCATAATTACATATCTACCATCATACAAGTGGGTCCGAATAAGTGTCCGAGTGTTTAAACCCTAATGCATGAGAAATGGCAAGTAAACACCATAATTACATATCTGTCATCATGCAAGAGTGTCGGAATAAGTGTCCGAGTGTTTAAACCCTAATGCATGAGAAATGGCAACTAAACACCATAATTACATATATGCCATCATGCAAGAGGGACCGAATAAGTGTCTGAGTGTTTAAACCCTAATGAATGAGAAATGGCAACTAAACACCATAATTACATATTTGCCATCATGCTAGAGGGTCGGAATAACTGTCCGAGTGTTTAAACCCTAATGCATGAGAAATGGGAATTAAACACCGTAATTACATATCTGCCATCAGGCAAGAGGGTCCGAATAAGTTTCCGAGTGTTTAAACCGTAATGCATGGGAAATGGCAAATAAACAACATAATTACATATCAGCCATCATGTAAGAGGGTATGAATAAATGTCCGACTGTTTAAACCCTAATGTGTGAGAAATGGTAAATAAACACCATAATTACAAATCTGTCATCATGCAAGAGGGTCCGAATAAGTGTCCGAGTGTTTCAGCCCTAATGCATGTGAAATGGCAAATAAACACCATAATTACATATCCGCCATCATGCAAGACGATCCGAACAAGTGTCCGAGTGTTTAAACCCTAATGCAAGAGAAATGGCAAATAAACACCAAAATTACATATCTGCCATCATGCAAGAGGGTCCGAATAGGTGTCCGAATGTTTAAACCCTAGTGTGTGAGAAATGGCAAATAAACACCATAATTACATATCTGCCATCATGCAAGAGGGTCCGAATAGGTGTCCGAGTGTTTAATCCCTAATGCATGAGAAATGGCAATTAAACACCATAATTACATATCTGCCATCATGCAAGAGGATCGGAATAAGTGTTCGAGTGTTTAAACCCTAATGCTTGAGGAATGGCAAGTAAACACCATAATTACATATCTGCCATCATGCAAGTGGATCGGAATAAGTGTTCAAGTGTTTAAACGCTAATGCATGAGAAATGGCAAGTAAACACCATAATTACATATCTGGCATCATGCAAGAGGGTCTGAATGAATGTCCGAGTGTTTAAACCCTAATGGTTGAGAAATGGCAACTAAACACCATAATTACATATCTGCCATCATGCAAGAGGGTCGTAATATGTGTCCGAGTGTTTAAACCCTAATGCGTGAGAAATGGCAAGTAAACAGCATAATTACATATCTGCCATCATACAAGAGGGTCAGAATAAGTGTCCGAGTGTTTAAACCCTAATGCATGAGAAATGGCGATTAAACAACATAATGACATATCTGTTATCATGCAAGAGGGTCTGAATAAGTGTCCGAGTATTTATACCCTAATGCAGGAGAAATGGCAAATAAACACCATAATTACACATCTGCCCTCATGCAAGGGGCTCGGAATAAGTGTCCGAGTGTTTAAACTCTAATGCATGAGAAATGGCAAGTAAACACCATAATTACACATATGCCATCATGCAAGAGGGTCCGAATAAGTGTCCGAGTATTTAAACCCTAATGGATGAGAATTCGCGAATTAACACCATAATTACATATCTGCCATCGTGCAAGAGTGTCCGAGTAAGTGTCCGAGTGTTTAAACCCCAATGCATGAGAAATGGCAAGTAAACACCATAACTACATATCTGTCATCATGCAAGAGGATCCGAATAAGTGTCCGAGTGTTTAAATCCTAATGCATGAGAAATGGCAAGTAAATAACATAATTACATATCTGCCATCATGCAAGAGGGCCCGAATTAATGTCCAAGTATTTAAACCCTAATGCATGAGAAATGGAAAATAAACACCATAGTTAAATATCTGCCATCATGCAAGAGGGTCCGAATAAGTGTCCGAGTGTTTAAGCCCAAATGCATGAGAAATGCCTAGTAAACACCATAATTACAAATCTGCCATAATGCAAGAGGGTCCGAATAAGTGTCCGAGTGTTTAAACCCCAATGCATGAGAAATGGCAAACAAACACCATAGTTAAATATCTGCCATCATGCAAGAGGGTCCGAATTAATGTCCGAGTGTTTAAACCCTAATGCATGAGAAATAGCAAATAAACACCATAATTAGATATCTGCCATAATGCAAGAGGGTCCGAATAAGTGTCCGAGTGTGTAAGCCCTAATGCATTTGAAATGGCAAGTAAACACCATAATTACAAATCTACCACCATGCAAGAGGGTCCGAATAAGTGTCCGCGTGTTTAAACCCCAATGCATGAGAAATGGCAAATAAACACCATAATTACATTTCTAGCATTATGCAAGAGGGTCCGAATAAGTGTCCGATTGTTTAAGCCCTAATGCATGAGAAATGGCTAGTAAACAACATAATTACATATCTGCCATCATGTAAGAGGGTCCAAATAAGTGTCCGATGGTTTAAACCATAATGCATGAGAAATGGAAAGTATACACCATAATTTCATATCTGTCATCATGCAAGAGGATCCGAATAAGTGTCCGAGTGTTTAAATCCTAATGCATGAGAAATGGCAAGTAAATAACATAATTACATATCTGCCATCATGCTAGAGGGCCCGAATTAATGTCCGAGTATTTAAACCCTAATGCATGAGAAATGGAAAATAAACCCCATAATTAAATATCTGCCATCATGCAAGAGGGTCCGAATAAGTGTCCGAGTGTTTAAGCCCAAATGCATGAGAAATGCCAAGTAAACACCATAATTACAAATCTGCCATCATGCAAGAGGGTCCGAATAAGTGTCCGAGTGTTTAAACCCC